TTTTTTGATGTCAAGTTGATGAAGAGGCCAATGTCGAATGACTACAATGACGAGAAGAAGTCTAACTGATGTCATCTTGGCTACAGGCGAGAAAATATCACTATAATCCAACCCAAAAATCTGAGTGTGTCCTTTGGCTGCAAAACAAGCTTTAAATCGATCAATCTTGCCTTCTGGACCAACCTTCATTGAATAATGTTGGTGTAAGCCCTAGAGACCATTACTTTTGGTACTTGTATCGTATTATTTATTAATAATAAAAGACATTTATTTATTATGTTTGTTTTTTCAAGATAATAAAGTTCCTAGAATAGCTAGTCCATTTAATGAAATATTAAGTGTGACTTAATCATGAGATGCCATTAAACATATGGACACTATTCTTAAAGTATTCGTAGTCGAGTTTTACTTTGAAGTGGGATAACGTTAAAGCATTAAGAATATTATGTAGATATGCTGATGATCACATCTCATGGATCATGGATAAGGAGTTATCAAGTCTTAACATAAGTATGAATATTATGAGTAATATTTATACTGGATTGACCCACAATGAGAGTACTATATAGAATGTTATGCAAAATGTCATAAGTTACTCTCATGGTGATAGTGATGTATACCACCTTTCGACTCAAAACCACTATGGACCCTAAATGTAGAGTCAAGTACTTTATTGTTGATCTAATATCTAGGAGAGTCTTAGATAGATATAGCACGGGTAGAGATTAGGTGAGAAGATTGTAAACTAGAGGTTGTTTGCGGAGAATCTTCAAACTAATTCTATTTTAGTGGATTTCCTTTCTAGCTTGGATGCCCCCAGATGTAGATGATGTTACACTAAATTGGGTTAACAACTAAGTGTGTTATTTACTTTATGCAAATCTATTATATTATCTTGTCTTTAAGTTGTGCGAAGTTCAGGTATTAGTGTCGTGACATCTCTTTCAACATCTCATATCTGTTACCAGAATTTTACAAGTATTATCACAAAAGGTTTTGTCAGATCACATGACATTTTCGTGACTTGGATAGCAGTGATATGTTGCTAGATACCGCTCACTATTTATTATGTTAAATGCGTGATTTAATATAACTGCCAATGTTACAAAAAACTACAAGGTCACACACATAAGGATAGATTGATAAGAGATAAAGTAAATAACGAACACCGTAAGGTATGGTGCACTTAAGTAAATGTAGAATATCGTAAGGTACGATACACTTAAGTAAATGTAGAATATCGTAAGGTACGGTTCACTTAAGTAGAATACAAAATATGGTAAGGTACCACGCACTTAGGTGATATACGATACACCATAACATATGGTGTGCATACACTTTAGTGGGCTTATTATCTTGTAGCCTATACAAGTGGTTCTATAAATATAACCCTTGTGTAGAAGCATACACTCTTGATGAAAATTCAGACTGTGAAACCCTAACCGTATTTCTCTCTCTCTCTCTCTCTCTCTCTCTCTCACTCACTCACACACACACACACACACACACACACACACACACACTCAAAGCCTTCAACCGTAGCATCTAGGACTGAGACTGAAGGAGTTTGTTCGTGTGGACTGAGTACAGGCATTGTTGTTCATCATTCAATGCTCGTGATTACTCATTCGATTCAACATCAAAGATTTCATCATCACAAGAGGTAACAAATTCTATCACTGATCATGCCCATTCGTAAGGATCACTAAAGGAAAATTTTTAATTTTCGATGCATTTTGGATCACTAAAGGGAAATTTTTAATTTTCGATGCGTTTTGGATCACGATTTCCATTCAGTGGTATTAGATCCACTTATGAAACCATGCATCTGATAGTTGTTTATTTTATGTTCTTTTTGTTTTAATTCTATTAAAAACACATCATAATTAAATTATAATCGAGTAATTGAATTTCGGCATCAGGCTTTGTATGATTTGGATGACCAACGTTGACTATGCTTTGGAATCTGACATTAGTATGGTGAAGCAGTGATACATCGATCGTTCTTAAGTTACACAAATATGATAGATCAAATTTTATATTTGATAAAGTAACTTTGATACAAAAATGGTATATTGGATATATTGTGTATATTTTGTTCATTCAATCACACAATGATTATTATTCTTTTAAGTGATCCATGTTCATTTGCTTCGGAATCCCAACGTTAGTATGGTGAAGCAATGGTATGTCGATCAATCATACTGAATTATTGATCATGATGTTTTAGTGGTATGTAGTTGTTGCATTAGTGTTCATAATGGCACAAGGGTTGTGTTGTCAAAGAGGTATGCGATTAGGGTTGTGATGGCACAAAAGTTGTGCTTTAATGTTTATGGAAAGTATGGAGTGTTGATGCGAAAAATGGTGCCGATTTCAAATGATTTGTTCATTAAATCTTTGCATCGGGACGCTGCCCTTAACAACCCCGCAGGGGGCGCTTCCCCATTGACCCCCGTCCACTGAACTGTCAGCGGAACCCCCCGATACTCTATGAACTATGATCATTCGCCGAAATTTAATTTGATTTATTTAGTTAACATGATTTAAATTAATAAGAATAAAAATGTGTTTATTATTGTTCTCTTGTGGTGATCAGTTATGGCCTTATTTTTCCTTTATTTTGTTTTGGGCTTTTAAAATACAACCTGCGTGTCGTGCCTCTCTTTTAATCTCTTGATGTAACTTCTTTTCTCATCTCACTCCCTCATATGTAAAATGGATATTCTTTGATGTAATGTAATGTTATGAAGAAAGAGAAGAATACAAGATCAAAGGAGGAAAACCTTGGAGATCTTGCTTGGAGAAGTGTAGATCGTTATTAGGTTTAACTTAGGTACTCTCATTGACTTGGGAGAACAATTGCGCTAGGGGCTATAACTATTTCATTTTGTATGTATGTTGATGCATGTGAATGCATGTGAGAAACAATTTATATGGTTTGGAGGGACAACCTTGATGGTGACCTTATTGAAACTGGAGATATAATCCCTCAGTGATTCTAACGGACTATGAAGGATGTTGAACAAGATCGTGGTGGACATCTTCTGGTGGCAACTGGTGGCGAACTGGTGTACCAACTTTCTCACCAATTCTTGATACTTGTTAATATAGGCACGAGGAAGGCATGTACCATTTGAGGGCGACCTCCCGAAAGGTCCCTGACAATAACTTACATTTTAGAAGTTTGGTGCTCCTATGATGGCCATATGCGTGTTAAGAAGGCGACATCTTCATAGGGATCACTGTGCCCATCAAACTTGGCCAAGGACGGGGGTTTGAAACCTTCGAGGATATGAGCCCCCATATTTAGTCCGAGAGTGGTTGGAGATCCAATAATTCTACCTCTTGTGGGGCATTAACCTCCTGTTTCCGTTGTTTGATATTATGGATGTTGTCTTCCAAAGTCCGATTGTGGCGTCGTAACTCGTATGGTGGCTCACATTTCCGCATGTCCTCAGTAACGCCTGTACTGATGGTATCCTCAGTAGTATGTGATGGAGCTCTTATGTTTACCATGACATATAGCAGTTAGGCGTTGGAATTGAGGGTACGAGAGGGAAATTGATGGTTATAGAAAATATGTATGGTCCAGATTAGTTTTATCGGGGCTCCACGGTGGACACAATTGTACAGTTCAAAAAGTAGATGGTGAGCACGTTCCTCTACAAGGGTAGGAAGACTCAGAGACTCTAGTAGTTATATGGTATGCATGTTCCCCTACAAAAGTAAAAAACTTGATCATAACATAGTATTAGCAAGATTCGTCATATCCCAGCTACAACAATTGCTGAGTCAATATTGAGGTTGAATATATACATTAAAAGTCTTTTTGTTTTGCTTACCTAAAGAGAAATGAAGTTGCTCACTTTTGGCTAAATTAGCAATGCAGAAGCCAATTTTTGAAAACTTGTAATATAATTATTTTTCTTTTTAATACAATATTTTTAACAGTTTATTAGCACATTCCATTTATTTTTCTTTACAATGAATAATTAAAATAGTAGTAGTAACTACTATTTAGTTTTAGGAAAAATAAAAATACAATTTGAAAGAATTGGTTTTCATTCATACATTGGAAAATCAGAAAAGAAAACAAAGTAGCGGGAGGAACTGTCCAAAAGCTAACCATATCACGAGGCGCAATTAACGCGACCAAACAATGTTGTACTAATCTTTGTGTCTGATTCTCCTTTAACTTAATTAATTCAATTAACTTTTTTAACACACTGAAAAAGTTGTGTTTACTACACTAACATGCTAACCCACTCAGTTTCCTCTTTCCTCCTTATTTCATTAGTTTCTTTTCAAAAAAAAAATTAAAAACTGATAGCGCCAAATTATGATTTTATCATTTTAAACTTCAAACACACAGAATCAATCCCAGCCGTTCATCTCATCCAACGGGCTATCATTGATTAATAACAGTCAAAACCGGCATTTGATTTTAATGTTTTGTTTGTAACTGGTTGGGAAAATGATCCAGAGAAAAAAAATCAAAACATTGCTTTGAATTTAAAAACCATCATCAATAAATATCTTGCACTCATAAATAAATAAAACAAAAATATAAAATTAAAAAATATCAATAATAGTGAATTGAGTAGCCCCACCACCTGACCAAATGTCACACCTATGGTGCATTAGTGCATGACTCTCTATGAGAAGGAAAATTTAGTAGTGGCGTATTTAAAATGTAAAATATTGGTGCATAGTGAAAATAAAGAAACAAGAGAAAGAATTAGATAATTACTACAAACCAATACATCAACGCTTCTTTCGCCCTCATTTCAGTGCTTCCAAACCAAACGAAACTCTCTTGCGGTTTCCTTCTCTGTCTTCATCACTTTTTATTTTTTTATCAGGTAAAAATTTCATTTTATTTAATTCAATAGTAACGTTTTGCAACAGAAATTAAATATTTACTCATATTTTTACTCTTTCTGAAACTCAATAATACTAATAATATTTAGAGTTTTGTTTTGGTAGAGAAGAGAATAATGGAAATTGTGGTGGCGGAAGCGTTGAAACCAAGCTTGAGGACAGAGTCTGTTTTTTCACAAACGATTAACGAGGAAATTTTGTGTTTGAACGCGAACAACGTTGTTGTCGGTGAAGATTTCTCTGTCGATGACTTGCTTGATTTTTCAAACGGTGAATTTCAACATGGTTCTGTCGGAAAAGAAATTGATAATTACGAGGAGGAAGAAGAAGAACATGAGAAAAACAGCACCACCTCTGGTTCGGAGCATGACCGAACAGAAGACGACGGGAATTCTAATTCCATGACGTTTTCCGGTACCGGCGAGTCAGACTCCATTTTTGCCGGCGAATTAGCAGTTCCGGTGAGTGTTTAATTCTCCTACTACAAAATTATAAAAAACTCTATGTTTTTTATTTATTTTTTGTGTATTAAAATTAAAATAAAAACATTCATGACTTATTTTGGGTTTTTTTATTCAGGCTGATGATGTTGCGGATTTGGAATGGGTGTCTCACTTTGTAGACGACTCTTTGCCGGAGCTTTCTCTATTGTATCCGGTTCAAGCCCGGGTCGAACCGGAACCTAGACCAGGCCCATGCCCAACCAAAACTACTTCTCATCTCACCTTAATTCGCAGAAAGCCTAGAACCAACAAGACTAGAAGGCCCAACTGTAACACGTGGTCATTCAACCCTATTCTGTGTAAAGCAAAGAAGCAGAGGAAAAAGCCCGAGGCCCAAACGGGTGGAGCTCAGCTTCAGAGACGGTGCAGCCACTGCCAGGTACAGAAAACGCCACAGTGGAGAACTGGTCCGCTTGGACCCAAAACATTATGTAACGCTTGTGGTGTTCGGTATAAGTCCGGTAGGCTTTTTCCGGAGTATAGACCGGCTTCAAGCCCGACGTTTTCTGGTAATATCCACTCGAACAGCCACCGTAAGGTTTTGGAGATGAGGCGGAGGAAGGAGACGGAAGAACCGGTATCCGGTCTGAACCGGAATCAAATGGCGTCGAATTGGTGAATTTGTTGAGAAAAGAGATAGTGATAAGATAACTCGATAAGGTAAGGTTAGATTAGAAGATGATAAACCAACCGGTCTAACCGGGTTTTTGTTAAAATAGTCAATAATTTTAGTGGTAGTGAGTGACGAAGATTAGGGAGAAGCCATTAATTGTCTGTGACTGTGTCCCATTTTCTGAGTGCAGTTAATTTGTTTAATTAAATGAAACACTAGTAGTAGTATAGTTAAAGTCTAGGATAAGATTTTAAAAAAAATGAGGACATTTTGGCCCTCAATTCAAGTTGGAGTATTAAATTATCTTGTGTTGATTGGAATTTTGAATTATTCAACATAGTTCAGCGGTGTGCGTGTTAGAATCTATGAGTGCATGCATGATGCATGTGTGTGAGAGAAAGAAAGGTGTGGCAGAGAGATTGAAAAACATTGATATTTGAATTGAGACCACTGAAAGTGATTTTAGTGCTAAAAAGTAGAATGGTCAAGTGGGGATGAGTGGATTGCTTTTATTTTGGAAGGCTCACAAGCTACGGGTCAATGATGGGTCATCTCCATGTTTGGGACTTACCTCAAAAAGTTTTTACCTTGATCTAATAATTACCGCAGTTTTTGGTGATGTTGGACTATGAAGTTAATTGAAAATATATCTCTTAAGTTTTAATTTGACTAATCAATATTGATATTGTTTTTATGAAAATAATTATTAAAAATATATGAGAATTTAAATTCATTTAAGAGTATTTAGATGAAATGGTAAAAGTTCTCTTTCAATTTAATCAAAAGTTATGATTTCAAACTTTTAGACATGCATCAATGTTAAATTGTTAATGTGAAAACCGCATGAAAGCATTTTTTTTCATTAAAAAATCATTTTCTCATCACAAAAGAGAATATGTAGCATAGCCTTTATAATTCTAGGCTCTACACTATCATATTAAGCAAGAGTACAATTTTCAATAAATGTATTATAAAAACTAGAAATAAAAAATGAAAGGTTAATGGGTCAAGACAAACTGATAAAAGGAAAATCATAATACATTTGACATCCCCTCAAGACGGAATGTGTATAGCATAATGTTTCAATTTGGACAAAACTGAAATCAAAGGCGGCTTATGTAAGGCCTTGTAGAAACAGGACTGAGATAAATAGTTTGGAGTTGATTTTCTCACGAGGGCACTCAAGTTCAATGTGCTCGGTCCTTTCATAGAAAGTGGGACTGTGGGTCAGATAGATGGTTGTTTTTGGTTATCACAAGAGACAAAAGCATACGTGGAGAAGTGAAAATTGAAATCTTTGAATAAGTGTTGTAGCCATTGTAGTTCACACGTGAAAGAAGCTAAAGATATGTATTCTGCCTAAGTAGATGATCTAGATACAATGTGTTGCTTCTTTAATTTCCAGCATATCAAGGATGAACTAAGCAAAACACGAACACTTGTGACAGATTTTCTTGTGTCAGGGCATTTAGCCTAGACAGAATCTACAAAAGCATGAAGCTTGAGGAAACTATTAGCAGAGGAAAAAATGTCAGTACAAGGAGATGATTTGAGATATCTCAAGAGTTGAATGGCTGCAATGTAATGAGGTTGGAGAGGTTTAGAGATGAATTAACTAGGGTGTTACACTGCATAAGACATGTATGACCTGCTGTTTGTTAAGTAAATCAGTATATTAATGAGTCTACGTTAGATTTTGGGATCAGGAATAAGGTTACCTTATGATGCTGAGAGTTTGAGGGAGGGGTCAAAAAGGGATGTAAGAAGGTTTTAAGGCGAGATATCCTCTGTCTTGCATAAGTTCAAGTGTGTAGTGCCTCTAATTGGATTTTTTTTTTGAATTTTTCTTGCAATATCAAACCCTAAGAAGTATCTTAGTTGGCCAAGGCTTGTTACGTGATTGATTTTAGTGATGAAGTTTCTAGCTAGAACAACATCATCAATATATACCGGCAAAATAGTGAATCTAGATGCAGTGCTTTTAGTGTAAAGTGAGTGGTCGGCTTCAGAATATGTAAATTCAATAGAAAGGAGAAATGAAGATAGTTTTGAGTGCCATTATCTGTTTTCTTGCTTCAAGCCATAAATTGATTTATGGAGTTTGCAAACTTTTGAGGAAGATGATTAATAATGACTTTGAAGGAGCGTCATGTAGACCACTTCTTAGAGATCACATGTAAAAAAGTAATGTTGACATCCAACTCTGCTAGATGCCAACCTTTGATTACAGCTAGAGAAAGAAGCACTCTGATTGTGGTAATTTTGCCATAGGGAAAAAGGTGTCAAATAATCAAGTTCTTCCAGTTATATATAACCTTTGGCAACCAATTTTTCCTTGTACATGTCAATATTGTGGAAACTTGTTTTGCATGTGATATGTTTTTAATAAGGACATCAACTTTTGATGATGACAACTTATGTCTTGTGATAAGTCAATCATGAACGATTAAGCAAATAAAGATTCAAACCTTATCATTAGGATTTGATGGACTTGACTATTCGATGATGATAATCAAATGGAATAGAATCAGAAGCCTTATCACAAGCTACTCAAGCAAGTGCCCACAAAAGAGAAAATATCTGACAAGTTTTGAAGTATTGGATGACCTCATAAGTTCGTAGTGAGTGAACCTATTGTAAAACATAAGGACTTTATTGTAGAAGCTCATGGCTAAAAGCACACACACTAAAATATTATTCAAAATAATTTTTATCAAAGAAAATACCTTCAAAAATATCTTGAAGTTGTCCTAGATGAATCAAGAACTGCCAAAATAGCTATAGGCAAAATTTTAACTTATCTAATCGACTGAGACATTTGTCTAATCGATTAGTTAAGTTAAAAATTGAACCATAATTGATTGGGGCAACGCCTTAATGATGTGAGACGACTAGATGTCATTTGCTTCCTTTTATAAACTTACAATCAATTGTATTTCAAACTTCTAATCAATTGTGAATATGTGCCAATTGATTAGAATGTCATAAAAAACTTTTATTGTAATTTCCTTTTTGAGCCAACCTCTAGCCTATAAAAAGAGGTCCCTTTTCACATTTCATTTCGATCTAGAACCGTGTTTTTACACACTAAAATATTTTTCAAAATATTTTTTACCAAAGAAAATACCTTAGTATCTTAAAGTTGTGTCAGATGAATTAGGAATTGTCAAAATAGTGATAAGATAAATTTTGACTTATCTAATTGATTGGGACATTTGCCTAATCAATTATCTCGATACAAAATTGAGCCACAAGCGATTGGGACAACGCCTTAATGATGTGAAACAACTAGATGTCCTTTCCTTCCTTTTATAAAATTTCAATTTATTATATTTCAAACTTCTAATCGACTGTGAATATGTGCCAATCAAATAGAATGTTATAAAAAGCTTTTATTGGAATTTTCTTTTTGAGTCAACCTCCAGCCTATAAATAGATGTTGCTTTTATCATTTCATTTTGATCTAGAACTGTGTTTTGACACACCTCACTCACCATCTCTCTCTCTCTCTCTCTCTCTCTCTCTCTCTCTCTCTCTCTCTCTCTCTCTCTCTCTCTCTCTCTCTCTCTCTCTCTCTCTCTCTTTAAAGTTCTATTTAACTTTATCTCACTAAAGTTTTAGCCTAACTGCTTCTGTGAGAAAATTCCTTCTGTGAGTGAGGTAGTTATAATTTTGAAAATGGTAGAATTGTAAAATTCACCAAGAGAGTCTTTTTTTATACACCTTTGTTGAATATTATCCATTTAGGGTTTTGTTTGGGTTAGAAGCTAAACCCGTTAAAAGCTTTGGTTTGAGGATTGTGTGATTAAATCCTAGTTAAGGTTGGGGATTAGCTTGTGATAAAATCTCCTAGGTTTTTGGTTACCCAGTATTAAAACCAAAATAAGTTAAAGCTCGTCTAGATATTAAAAGCTTTACATGTTCGAGATCAACCCGAAGTTAAAATCTCACAAGTTATTGGTTATCCTGTGTAAAACCAAGGTTTAAGGTTCGTGATCTGAGCTTGTGTAAAAGCTTGTAAGGTTTAGGAACTTGAAGACTAACCGCTCTGAGATCCTGCTTTTGTGGAGAAAGGACTAACCGCTTGGATTCACTGTTTGGAAGAGAAGACTCAAACTGCTATATCCCAAAGTCTCATATTATTTGGTTTAAGGTCAACCATTGTTTTCTTATATAAGGGGGTTCGTGAGTCCTTCCTACTAAAAGCTCTCAAATTTTATCGAATACTCTCAAGATCAATTCTTAGGAAGATGAGTATGGTGTTCCTTGTTTGGCCAAACCTCTGTATACCGTGGTGTTCATCTCTTTCCCTTGACTCTTTAAATTTCTTCACTTTATTTTCTATCTTTTATTTTCCACTGATAAGTTTTTAAAAATGTTTTTAAACTCTGATTTTATTACCCAAAGTTTTTTCAAAACCACATTTTTTCTAAACCACACAATTCACCCTTCTCTTGTGTGTGAAGTCTTAAGTCCAACAAATACATCCAACAAAGTTATATTTGATTTTGTATTCCCATCTACACCCAATAGGTATTTTTCCATATGATAGGTCAACAAGAGACAAATTATTATTATCAGTAAGAGCTTGTAACTTGACATTCATGGCTTGTTTCCAATAATCAAGTTTATTTGCTTGAAGGAATGTTTTTAGATTAGGGTTAGAGGAGATAAAACAGAAAAAAAGTTTTATATTAGGGTGATAAATTATGATAGGATAGGACAAAGGATAAAGAATGTGATGTGGTAGAAGATGAGGAATGGGGAAAAGATGTAGATTCTTAAAGATGGAGGATGAGAGATCCATGTTGAGTTTCTTGTAAGTAAGGATTGGTTAGGTTCAGGTTAAGCAAAAAGTGGTACATTAGATATGGACAAATCATGTTGAGGGGAGTCAGGGAAAAGGTCTATATTTGATGAATTAAGCATAATATGAGTTGACATAGTCAAATCATTATCAAAATGTATAAAATGCTCGGTAAGGGAAACATAATTATTTGCTGGTA